TATTACTTTATATTACTATTTAAAAATAATATTTACTTTTACTGGCATTTACTTTAAAAAATAAATGAAATATTTCTCCGCAAAAAACTACATGTAAGAGAATTAGCATAAACAAAATACAAACATTATTAACTTTTTTTTTTTAAATTGGCACGTGTAAAACTTTCAATTTAATTTTCTCACCCAAAAATTTGAGTTCAATAATCATTTACTTAACCACATTACTTAAATATGATTATTAAGTTCAACTAATTCATATTATTAAAACATCCAAAATACAAATATGTATTTTTAAAATTAATTGTAAGTTCATCTCATCTCTCTTAAAAATTGTTACTTCTCAAAATTTCCCATTAAAAAAATGCAATCTAACCTAACCATAATATATCATATAAAATTAAATAATTGAAAGATCGGGCTACGGAAAATCACACAAATTTTCCGAAAAATTTTGACCACTTCGCACAAAATCGTGAATTAAAAAAAAATTACTATTTTAGTATTTTAAATATATTAATAAACGCAAAAATAGCATAGTATTTACAAGGCGAAGTTATAAAAATTTGGAAGAACTAATAATGCACTGACGCACACAAAAATCAAACGAATACTAAATTACATTTATCAAACACATTCGATAGTCGTGGCTCGTGGCGCAACGATAACCATTTAGTCGCACGGCGAGGTTGTCACTTATGCTTTAGTATACAAATGAATGAATGAAAATTTTATTCGAATAAAACCATTCGATAGTTGAAATCATTCATTCAGTAACCATTCGATAGTCTAATTCATTCGATAGTTCCCATCGCTAATAGAAACCAACGCCTACCCCAGCACAATATTTTTTTCTACTCGTACCTAATAAATTCCTTGAAATAATAATTTCTGAATATTTTTTAAAACGTAACTCGCTATGGAAAAAAATATTGTTTTATACACGACGATAAAATTGCATTATCGTCTCCAGAATTTTTTTCGGTCGACGATAAAATACCATTTTATCGTCTTGTATAAAAAATAACTATAAGTTGTTACCACTTAGTTATTAAAAAAGGTTATTAATAAAAATCGTTCGTCTATCTTTTATAGCCACATGCCTATGCTTTTATAGTCGAAAGTGTAGTTCATGGAATGTTTAATTAACTTTCCAAAATATTTACCTACATAATACAGCTAATTTATTTTTATCTTTGTGTCGTCACATCCGAAAAACATATATGCATAGGTATTATACATGCGGCCGGCCATGTAATGTTTTATTAATATCAAAATCGATACAGGGAGAACTCATTTGATTTTGTCGATAGGTGGTGGGAGGGGGGGCTGACCAACAAACGAGCTTTAATCGGGATTTGTTTATAATAATTTAGCAAAGTGCGGTTAGCCAAAACTGGAGCACATTATTAGTTGGACAGTAATTATCACGGCTAAATAAGAACCGGGTTGATTATACCACGATAGAGAATGAATTATTTAGTGGATGTGTGAATTTTAAATAAATCGAGGGTATTTGTTGATAAAATTTCAATATTTATTAATGGAAAATAGAGATAGATATAAGCACTGACTACAAACTTAATATGCTCGCTTTTTTCTCACAATTTCCTAAAAGTACACAAAATTCCTATACATTATCAGTAAAAAAGTCATTTCTTACCTTTATTAATATTTTAAACGTTAAATAAACGAAAAACTAAGTAGTTAGTATCCAATACGGGGCAATTTTAAAAAAGTTTCTGTGACCACGATATTTTAAAATCATTGACCTTGTTTAGAATGGTATTTAATTGGGTTATTTCTTAAAGCTTATGTATTTCTTTTGCACATTAATCACTTCAGCGGCCTTCATAGTAATAACTTGTTGAACGAAAAGCACGCAAATCAGTGACGGCCCTTACTACGGAGAAAAAGGAGTTAAAAAATGGTTAATTTCTACACTTAGATGTAATTTTATACCGCCGCAAACCTTTATGCACAATTTAATACTCCTCACAGGTTTGGTCTTCTTCTAGGACTCTCAATTCCTCGCGGGTACCATGTTGTAATTTCTGTGATCCATATCGTCTTGTCCCTGGCTCATATCCATACCGTTTTGTCGTGGCCAGGGAATTGCACCAAGACATATAACGATGCCAGACGAGAACCTACTGACTGTGGTCATGTCTCGCGGGTAGAGGGTGTGGGGGGGTCTTGGCTTAACCGCCTGGACCAAAAGGAGACAATCTCACCAAAAACCTAAATCCTACGATGGCGGGACCAGTTCAAAGGGATGCGTGGCTAGATGGAGGACGAGCCATTACTGGCCTCATCCTTGGGGCATCAGGGGCACCCCATTGTATTTACCCCTTACTCCTACATGCGGGGCTCTGTGGAAGTGGACCGACTATCCCTAGCGATTCGTGGGAACACTATGAGATCTAGCATTAAAAACACCACCGGTGAAGCTGTGGGGAAGCAAGCCCCCGAGCGACACTGGGAACATTACAAATGAAAGTTCCAAGGGACCAAATCCAAAGGAAACTACAAAAGGGGCGGCTGACACTTGCTTGGGATCATCCTCCACAAGTGGCACACAACCTACCACCTTCTCCAGCAAGGGTCAGGAGCCTACCTCTCGACCCAATAAGCGACACAAGACGCTCTGTCTAGATTGCGATATATATTAAGAAAAAAAGGTTAACTATTAGGAAATATTGCTCACAAATCACTTATTGCAGCAACGCCACTGAGCTATATCCATTAAACTAAAGCACCTTGTTTATTCCGTAGATCAAAGTAATGATCTTGATATTTACGTTCTGTTTTAACGTCGCGCTTGTTTCATTTACAATTCAAACGAGAATTAACATCCCTTAAACGCAGTTTGTTATTTTTCTTCCTCTTTTAATTAATGCTCGAAAAGGGCACTTTTAAACGACTTTTTAATATTAACAAGAAGTGACAAAAATTTCGAAAGTTTTTTAGTAAAAAACTAATTACTTCCAACGTCGCAAACTAGTATTTTGAGTTTGCCGTTATGAATTTTATTCTCCCGGTACTTGTAAACTAAGTAGGGCTATCTGAAAGTTTTGAAACTTTATAAAAATATCGACGTTACGTAGGTACTCGTATTTTCTAAGACGAGTTTTACTGGCATTTGGAAAGTTTTTCAAACGAGTTAAGGGAATATTTTTATACTTTGCTAAACCAAGAGTCTGATACAGGGTGTTTTTTGATGACATGGTAGTATTTAAAGGAAGATTCTTGGATCTATTCTAAGAAAAAAACGTCCTAAACATCCTAACTTTTGAGATACAGGGTGGTATAAAATTTTGTTCATAATAACTTTGATGTTACAATAGATTCTTTATTAATTTTCTGCACATGGCATTAAGAAACATCCTGTGTATTATAGGGATGTGGTTAATCAACACGACCTTATAAATAAATAAATAAATAATTGCCTTTATTGTCAAAAAATTTTACAATTTGTAGACAAATATAAAGTAAACAAACAAACAAACAAAAGATAATACAAAACATTATACAAATAACATTGTCAGTCTTATTGTTTAAAATAAACATTTATAAATGTTTACAATGTCAAAGAATAAAAAAATAAAAATAATATTCAAAAATATTTAGTTAGTTGATAGTAAATATCAATGACCTCTAGATAAATTTATTTCGATGTCATTGTTAAATATAGTAATAGCAAACATTAGACCAGTGTCTACAAGATCAAATTCGATTATCAAAATATAAGTCATTTACGGCGTAGAAAGTCATAATAAGTCATTTACGGCGTAGTAAATAAGATTTCAATGTTTTTCGAAATGAAGAAAATGATGTTATGGATTTGATTTCAAATGGCAGGTGATGCATTTTTTTCGAGTTGTATAATATTGAACTTTTAACTAACCCTGAGCGTGGGGTATGTAGATAAAGATCTTGCTCCGCGTTCCTGAGTGGATAAGTGTGAGATGGCCTTTCTTGAGAAGCTGATACATGCTTACGTATTAGGCAAACGGATTCAAATATAAATAAGGAAGGAAGAGTTAATATTTTTAATTTTTTAAAAAGTCCTGGCAATGAGTTCGGCTGTTTAGTCCCAGCGAATATCGAACAGCTCTCTTCTGGAGCTTGAAAATGCGGTCATATCGAGTCGCACAACACGTACCCCAGAATGGAAGGGCATACCTGAGGTGCGACTCAAAAAGTGCATAATATACAGTTCTAGCCATATAAATATATTGTCCCCCTTTCTTGGCTTACAACTCATTATACAGTTTTACGGCTTTAACACCTTCCTAAGTTACTTATAAAAAGTAACTTATAAAACGTCTTTCTCAAATTTTTTAATATTCTAGACTTTTTTTAGAATGTTATTAGTTACCATAAAAGAAAATATATTTTTTGGAAACACAATGCCTATAAAACAACATTTCATATATTTTATTTTAGAATTTTATTTAAATAAACTTCTACATCATTTTTTTAAACAACCCCAATGCCATTTTCGGTTAATTTATTTATGAAATATTTATGTAAAACACCGAGAGGTTTAAAATTTTAATAACATTAATTAATAAATTCAATAAACGTTTTCAAAACAAACTAATTGGGCGCTAGCGCAATTTATCGATACGAAATTGGAAATAAATTAAAATTTACACGACCAATTTTACAGTAGCTATGCGGAAAATAAAGTATGCACACTGAATAGCTATTAATTTATAATTTTTTGAAACTTGTATGAGAAATTAACTTGAAATCAGTAATAATTAGTGGGAATCTTTAGAACAATTTTGTTTCTCTGGAAATGGACAATTCTATTTCCAAAAATTATTATAGAATATAAATAGAATTTGAATCCCAGGAAGAAATAATATACATTTTTGTAAAAAAAGCTCCATCCCTTATATTAAATCTTCTTTTTTCTCTTTTTCAGATAAAAAAATCCATCATGAAGGACTGGAGAATATTTGAACCGGATCATCTCCACAACTAACAACACTATGACAGACATTTTCTCATTAACCACGGACCTCTACCAAAACGACACTATTAACGACACTTTAGACATCATAGACATCACCCCCAACAGAACCATGTCAGTAGAAAAAACCTGGCTCCACCCCTGGACATTCCTGGTGGCCCTAAAAACCACCGTCATGGCACTGATAATCATAGCAGCCTTATTCGGGAACCTCCTGGTCATAGTTTCGGTCATGAGGCATAGAAAACTCAGAGTTATCACAAATTACTTCGTTGTGAGTCTAGCTCTGGCAGATATGCTCGTGGCTATATGGGCGATGTGCTTCAATTTTAGTGTTGAAGTTACCGGAGGATACTGGATCTTCGGATACTTCATGTGTGATGTCTGGAATTCTCTAGATGTATATTTTTCAACAGCTTCGATTCTACATTTATGCTGTATAAGTGTTGATCGATATTACGCTATAGTCCAGCCTCTGGACTACCCACTGATCATGACAAATGGCAGATTGATCGTTATGCTGGCTATAGTTTGGTGTAGTCCAGCCTTAATGTCCTTTTTACCGATTTTTATGGGCTGGTACACAACGGTGGAGCACACGGCGTTCAGGAAAAAGAACCCGGACGTATGTTTGTTCGTTGTGAACAGGACTTACTCGGTGATATCGTCCAGTGTGAGCTTCTGGGTGCCGGGAATGGTGATGATACTGATGTATTACCGGATTTATGTGGAGGCAGATAGACAAGAAAGAATGTTGTACAGGTAAGGAGTAGTTGTTTAGTTAGATTTGTGTTTTGTTGATTGACAAAAACTAGAAAGAGATTTTTCTTGAAGAAATTTATAGTGATTATACGGGGCGGTAAAAAAATAGTGTGTCTACAGGGTGGTCTGAACTGTATTCCGAAAACTTCCGCAACATATTTTGCAGATAGAAATAAGTAAAGATGTTCGTATAAATGTATGTCCTAAAATGCTTAGTTTCGGAGACACAGGGTGTAGAAGTTTTATTTTTATTTCGATTTTTTCCAAATAATTTTTTTTGACATCAATGTTCATCTAAATATTGACGTTACTTCAGAAATTATTTGGAAAAAATCAAAATAAAAATGAAAATTCTCACCCTGTATGTCCAAAACTAAGCCATTTTAATTTTTAATACATATATTTATACAAACTTTCTTACTTATTTTTATCTGCAGAATATGCTGCCGAAGTATCCGGAATACAGTTCGAACCACCCTGTATATCAAGTTTTGACTAAAATAGTATTGCTTCTTCTATGTACGTCCAAGCTTAGCGTATAGAAAGATAGTGAAGAACAATTTTACGATGTTAAATATTCAGTTAATAATCCAGAAGTTCTACTTTCTATCGATCTATCAAACTGTAGAAAGCCTCAACGGGCCAAAGAGAATTTTACATTCGAAAATCTTATTACGAATTTCATATACAAACAGGAAAACGTTGGGAAAACAGAAGAGTATCTACATAGCTCCTCTGCATTTTCCGATAACAATAAAGAAAATGTATTGTTTCGTATTTTCCGGCTTTGCTCTTTGCGAATTTACACAGAGCCAGCTACTGAAAAATAAATAGGAGAATCACAAAAAATGTACCTTTTCATGTTTTAAAAATATAGACGAGATATTTTAACTTTGAATATGATTTTTTTTTCTATTAATATTATACTTTTAGTTGTATTGAAATGGATGTAGGGGGTTTGAGGAAGACCCTGTATAAGTTTGATACGTGAATTGGACAATGCGAATTGGATTTTCAAGTGAGTGAAATGTTTATTAAGTCTCGGGTTATCGATCTAGCCTGGGGGCCTTTATAGCGTCCAATATTTGGCCGCGGGTCAGAGAAACCATCCCCATGCGAAATAAAATCAGCCAGCGATAAATTTAGTACCTATATCTTTGGCCAAAATAAACCTAACGTGGTCTAAATATAGATGGAAGGAGTTATACAGGATGTCAAGAAAATTGTGTACAGATAAAAATAAAATGAAAAGTTCCTATGAACATATATGCCCTAAAATGCTTCGCGAAGAAGTTACAGCACTTGAAAGGCTAAAAAAATAATAAAATAATATATTTTGTGTATTTTTTCCATAGCAACTGTTAAAATTACTTTATATCTATCAAAAATACTAGATAAAATAGTACTTTAACCGCAAAGGTAGATTAAATGATACTTTAACAGCGAGGATAGGTTAAAAACTTTATTTCTTCTCGCACGTTTTTAATTGCTTCCATTTTTGAAAATTTTTGTATTCCTTTTCATAAGTTATTCGGGATTTAAATGGGAGTAGTTTGGATATGGCGTTTGTCGCCTCAGCCTGAATATCTGTTGATAATTTACTTATTTCGTTTTGAGCCATTTCTGGCTTCAATTCAATCAGCAATCGACACGAAAGAGAATTAAATAAAAAATCGGTAAAAAAACTTTTAAGTTAAACGGTTTTATCTTATGTGCACTGAAAACTAGAAAATAATAATAACAATTATTTATTTTGAACTTCTAGTTCAGAAATATTTTAGTACTAGGCAGAATAGCTTTTAGGCATATTAGACTAAAATAAAAACGTGGGGCCCATTAACTATTGCTGTAATACTTTCTTCTATACTAAGTGTGGATTGCATCGACTTACTATAATCGTAACTGGAGATTTTGACAATCAATAACCAGCCGTGGCGGCTTCACCAGCGAACGCCGAGCTCATGATCTACCAAAGTATAAAGATATGCTTTGCCATAGGTAGGATTTCAGAGGGGCCCCACGTTTTTATTTTAGTCTAATATGCCTAAAAGCTATTCTGCCTAGTACTAAAATATTTCTGAACTAGAAGTTCAAAATACCTAATTGTTATTATAATTTTCTAGTTTTCAGTGCACATAAGATAAAACCGTTTAACTTAAAAGTTTTTTTACCGATTTTTTATTTTCTAGTTTTTAGTATTTAACGGAAATGCCTACCGAATATTTCTCATTCTATTTAATTCATTTAGTGCATCATTATTACATGGTTTTTACCTGATAATTTATTACAATCTAATTCCTCAATACATAGCGCTTCCAGAGACTTGACTCGACTTAGAGCCACGTATGCTTGCCCTTCCTCAAACAATTTGAGCCCAAATACACTACTGCATGGTCGACTGTGCTGCCCTGCATTTTATGGACGGTGGATGCCCATGACAAAATTAAGGGTAACATCCTTCTTTCAGCTGTACCATAATTGAATTTTGCTGGAAACTCCAGCAAAAGTCACATACGCCAAAGTCAATCCAAACTGATGGTACATCTATTTCGTACATTTGAGTTCGACGGAACTGAGGCCAAACAATTTCTGTAATGTGGCCTATAGCACCATTTACCAATCCTTTTGTAACGTCAATGTTGGACCGCAACATTACTTTTGCTCCTACAAATATTTCACGTACTGATGGTAAGCCTCCAGTCTTATTTATATCTGTTGGTATTATATTTGCTAAATTTAAATTATCTGTATTTCGTGTGGCGTCAATTAGTTGGTCCTGTGCTTTAATGGTATAAATTCGAGATCCCTTATTCCGGAACAGATTTAAAACAGCAGCGTTGTGATTGTTTACTTGCTGATTAGTGGGGTATACCCTTAACACTTTGTCTGTTGCAAACTCATCACTTGGGTTTTGAAGTTCCCACGAGTAATGGACATTTTAACGGTCGATCCCCCAGAGGTTCAGGTTTAATTTTCACTTTCTTTTGCACGTTTCGTTCTATACTTTTCTTTCGCCTTTTCGAGCCTTCTTTTTCGTTGTGTAGCAGTTTCGTTTTTATTTTTGTTTGTTTTTTTATTTATTGTTTCCATGTTGTTCCCACGAGTAATGGACATTTTAACGGTCGACCCCCCCCCCATATTCCAGTAGAGGGGCAAGGCTATAATATACAACAAGAGGCGCCCAATCTTGAGGGAAAAACGCTTTCGACATTACATTTTTAGCCACTCTAATGCCATACAGTCCTCAGCACGTTTTAACCTATTACCTTAACTTGGGTGGTAAAGCTACCGCTAACTACGTAGGTACATCTAATCACCTATTTTTTTTTATCTGTCCTTCTAACGTCACACAATCTTGGACACAACTGTTCTGGACACGACTACTCATGCCCTCACCTAATACGCCATTTTGTAACGACGTCCATCTTGGATTTTAAATTTTGTCATAATCACAGTATTCTACTAGTGTAGCCCTTTCATTTGATACCCATATTGAGGGGGTTGTGGAAAAATATGGAATCCGCCATTTTGTACCGGCGGCCATCTTAGATTTACAATGTTATTGATATTACTATATTGTATTGTCATCGGAACTAAAGGTGTGTACCAAATCAAATACCAGATCAATCTGACAACAGGAAGGTACTTAAATTTCAATTTCGAATTTTGACCCAAACAATCAATAAATACCGTACGGGTCGAGCTAAATAAAACCGTTTAATAAAAATATTGACTTATATTTTTATAGAAACTTTTTGTTTTATTTTTATCTATAGGATAACCAGCTTAAGTTAGATACACTATTTTTTAACACCCTGTATATCTATCTCTTAAGCATGTCTACGGTTTTATCAGAAACAGTTTTTGTTTATTTTTCTTCGCGTCTGGTGAAAATTCAATCTATTTCGATAAAGACTATGCGAGCGTTTTTCTCGGGAAATTCCTCTAAAAGCGTCCGAAATGTCCGGTTTGCCTAGAAAAATAAAGAAAAATCGCGCTTTTCCGTCGACTTTAAACCCCTGCATGGTGAAAACGTCCGGAAAAGACAAGGGCTCGATTTAATTCCGGAAAATTCGGCAGAAGGAAAGTCTGCAAGCCAGGATTTCAGCTTGAAGAGTTCGAATTTTGTGGAAAACTAACTCCAAGTTAATTTTTAAATTTTTTCTTGGAAATTTTGAGTTCTTGAGCCTTGTATCGATATATTCTTATATTAATTTTCTTGGGACATTTAGGTTCCGGAAACAGAGTGTCTTTCCTTCTCCTTCTTCTTCTTTTAGAAGGCGTATCGCCTGTTTAGCTCCGGTTTCCTCCTCGTCTAAGCAACTCTTGCGAAGTTGACTGCCAACTGTCTTGCCAACGTTTAGGTGGTCGTCCAGTATGTAATTATTATGGCCATTCTGTCGGGGCCCATTCTATTGACATGCTGGTTCCATTCCCTTCTTCTCTGCCTTATCCATCTGACAACGTCGTTTGTTTGGCACTTTTCTCTTATGTCTACATTTCTCTGTCTGTCCCTCAATGTGTATCCAGTTATCATTCTTAAGGTCTTCATTTCAGTAGTTCGTAGGACTCTCTTTGTTACTGATGTTTCGGCTCTGGTTTCCGCACCATATGTCATCACTGGTCGTATGCAGGTTTTGTATATTTTTGACTTACATTCTGTACTGAAATGTTTGTTTTTCAATATGGGATATTTAAGATGTCCTGATATTGCGGCAGCTTTATTGGCTTGTTTCTTTACTTCTTCTTCCAGGAATCCTGAGCTTGTAATTTTGCATCCGAGGTACTCGAATGACATTATCTGATCAATAGTTTTGTTTTTTATTACCAATTTGCACCGTAGAGGCTCCTTTGTAATGGTCATGCATTTGGTCTTATTTGTGGAAATTTGCATGTTAAGTTTTTCTGCCTGTCAGTTAAAAGCTTGTAGCATTCTTTGGAGGTCGTCCTCTGACTCTGCAATAAGTACTGCGTCATCGGCATAGCATAATATGTTTACT